AGACTGGCATCATATAAGGACAAATTCACATCATATATTGTTAAGTTGACTCAATATAAGGATGGTTCCACATAATATATTCATTAATGCACATCGTATAATGAAAGACTGACATCATATAAGGACATGCTGACATCATATAATGTTTAAGTTGACTCTATATAAAAGAGGGTTCCCACATAATATATTTCATTAATGCACATCGTACAATGAGAGACTGACATCATATAAGGACATGTTGACATCATATAATGTTAAGTTGACTCTATAAAAAAGACGGTTCTACATAATATAATGTTGTTTTGACTCTATATAAGAAAATGATTCCACATAAATATATTCGTAATTGCACATCATATAATGAAAGACTGACACCATATAAGGACATATTGACATAATATATTGTTATTATGACTCTATATAAGGATGGTTTCACTTAATATACTAAAAAATGCACATTCGTATAATGATAGATTGACATCATATAAGGACGCGTTGACATCATATAATGCTGACTCTATATAAGAATTATTCCACATAATATATTCATAACTTCACATCATATAATGGCAGACTGAACATCATAAAAGGGAAACGGGATTTGCCCCTTTCCATATTTTGGGGTTTTTTTTTGACCTTTAAAAAAAGGGATGGTTCCGACTAAATATTAAAAAATTTCCCCAAAAAACGTAAAAAATGATAGTTTGACATAAAAATTAAAAAAAATACTTTTAAACATCAAATATTTGTTCGGGTTTACTAAAATTTTAAAGATGGTTTCCCCCAAAATTTATATTAAGATTTGCATTTTGGGTTTTAAGGGGAAAAAGGTTGACCCCCAATATATTGTTTATATGGACATAACAACTTTTTGGGTTTTTAATAATTATAAAAAACCGGGTTAAGGTTTTCCCCTTTAAGATTCCCCACAGACGGGGGTTCCCTAATTCTTAAATTTTCCCTTGGGAACAGTGACACATGCCCACCTTTTAAAAAAATGAAAAATAACAATTAAAATAAAATGCAAAAAAATTTCCCCATTAAATCCCTTATTTTAAATTTGTCTCTCCCTTTAACATTTATAAGCAGGGGGAAACAAAGATTTTTTTTTCTTGTCTTTAAAAAAAATGCCCTTTAAATTTTTAGCATTTTTTTAAATTTATATTTGAAATACAATTTTTTTTAAAAAATTTTATAAATAGAAAATATTTAAATTTCCCCCTTTTTTGTGTTTTTTTTTCTTCACAATTAAATCAGACAGTTTTAACAATTAATTTTTTTTAAAAGGGCATCTTTTTTAAAAGGGGGTAAAATTTTTATTTTTTTTGGCCCAAACAAATAAATGAAAAAATTTAGGGGTTAGTTTAAAAAAACCAAATTATGAATTTTTTAAAAAGGTTTTTTCCCTTAAAACCTTTAAATTTAACAGCCTTAAATTTAAGCAGAATTTTTTAGAAATAAGGCCACCCCCTTAGAAAAGAAAAAAGGGTTTTCCAAATAAAAAGGGGGGGAAAAACCTTTTTTTAATCCCATATTTAAAATCTTTTTGGGGGGGAAAAAAAATCATTCACAGCGGGTGCTTTGTTTATTAAAATTATTTTTCTTTTGGGGTTTTCCCCAACCCCTTGGGGAAAAATAAAAAAATTGTAAAAATTTTTCCAAAAGGGGAATAAACTGAAAATTTGAAATTTTTTGAAATTTCCCTTTTAACCCCCTTTTTAATTGTTTGGGTTTTTTTGTACAAAAAAAAAAAAAAACCAAAAAATTACCATGATATTTCATGTAATGGGTTTCCTTTGGGGACAAAAAATTTTTAAACCCCTTAAAAAAACTTAAAAAAACGGGGAGCTGCCCCCTACATTTCTTCTATTTTAGGGGGGTTCCCTTTATATATATAAAACAAGTCTTGGACTATTTTCAGTAATGTAGATTTAGAAATGCAAACTAGACACTTTCAGTTTCAAGCCCTTTCCTAGACATATTTTGGGAAAAAATTCCTAGCACAGGTTAGGAAATTTTGCATCTTAATTGGGAAAATTATTCAGAACCTTGTACAAAGTTGTTAATCGAACAAATTGTATATCATTCAAAGCATAAAAAATACATAAAAATGTGTTTTTGAACATCCTATGTCTGGTACCATATTTGATTGAAATGGAATGAAGAAAAATTGTCAACTTTCAAAGATAACGGGAATTTTGACTCGATTATGATTTTTTCTAAACTTGGAAAAAATAAGCATATTTGGCATTATTTGCCACTGGCCTGTGGTGACACTGGTAAAAAGGCATATGTTTTCATGAATACTTTTTGGAAAATAGTTTGATTTGTGAAATATACATCAAATATTATACAAGTACCTGTTGTTTGTGATCATCTTCTTGTCTAAATTCTTTAATCTTATTCTTTTTTAATAGCTACATGTACCAGCCTTTCCAAGTGAATATTGGAGTAAATGATCTTTTATTTCCCTGAAAATATCAATTTTAGAGATTCCATCGTCAAAATTATCTAATACTACTCTCTTAGTATGTGTATCTTTCAATGTATATATGTGTATATACAATGTATATATATATATATATATATATATATATATATATATATATATATATATATATATATATATATATATATATATATATATATATACACATATATTATATATATATATATATATATATATATATATATATATATATATATATATATATATATATATATATATATATATATAATATATATATATATATATATATATATATATATATATATATGTACACTATTATATGATTGTGTACAGCATGAAATGACATAAAATTTGAAATTTTTTGATAATAATATTTCTTCATATTACTCCACAATTTTACCACTAAAATAGAAAATGTTCTTATCATTTTATTATGATATTTATTTATGACATGTAGATATGTGAATAAAAAGTGAATATCGTGCACCTGTCATTACTTTCCTGACCATGGGGAATTTGACATCTTAAAATGTTTGAAGTCTAAATCCCCACCCTAAAGACAACCATTTTTGTCTAAATCCACACCCTGGAGGTCCTGTTTGGGTTTGCATCAAATCCCCCGGGGGGGTAGGGAAGGGGGTTTAAATGTCAAAATTTAAAGATCAATCAAAAAATAAAATGTTTTTCAGATAAAAATGAAAAAAATAAAAGGGTTAAAAATAAAACCCCATAAATTCCCTTTTTTAACGGAAATATTTTGGTTTCCGCACAGGGGCACAAATGTTTTTTTGGGTTCGTGACAGCCCCCTCAATTATAAATTCGACAATTTCCGGTTTACTTTTAACAGTAAAACCCTCCCTTGCCCAACCCATATCGACCGGGTTTTAAAGCCCAAAAGGGTTTAATTTTTTTTTAAAAACCCAAAATTTATGTTATAAATTTTTGATGAATAACAAAGAAAAATTTTTAATTTTTTGATGTCAGTTTTTCTTTTCCCTTGGGGCCCTAAAACTTTTCGTTAAAATTTTAAAGAAATTTTTGCGAGATAAACAGGTCGATATGCTTGTCAAGTAGGTCATACTGTAAAGTAAACCGGAAGTTGTCGATTTCATAATTGAGCCGTGTCACGACAAAACCAACATAGTGCGTGTGCGACCAGCATGGATCCAGACCAGCCTGTCTGATCAGGATCCATGTTGTTCGCTATCAGTTTCTCTACTTGTAATAGAGTTGGTAAGCGAACAGCATGGATCCTGATCAGACTGCGTGGAAGCGCAGGCTGGTCTGGATCAATGCTGGTCGCAAACCCATTATGTTAGTTTTGTCGTGACACGGCTCATATGTACCAATTACCATTCCATTCATAGAATTAATCGACCTTTTCAAATTATATCTGCTACATTTCTAATACCGTTATTCAAGCACAATTGCAAAATGATTTTTAAAAAAATAATTTTCTTATCTCTCTTCTTATTCGCAATAAATCAAAGTTTTCAAGAAATTTTACAGAGCTCTATTTTTCACTTCGAGGCGGTTATGCGTCAGTCATGGTCGGATGAATGAACACTTTATGAATTCAACTTACCTGCAAAAATGTTTAAGAATACAATTTATAGCAGTATAGAGTGGTGATGAAAACGTCAACTGGCAGTGGGCGTTTACCCTGTATAGTTGGAAATTTCGGGTTTGTAAGTACACTAGTTGGGACTACGGTCCCAAAACTAAAATGAAAAATGATTTTTTTTTGATTGCAACTTATAGTCAGGGCAAATCTCATATGTATTAAAAATCTCAAAAACTGTTATAGAAAAAAAATCTAAAAACGCCCAGTCGCCCCCTGCCGTTAAGATGAATTATAAATATAAAAATAAATTAATATAAAATTCTTTTAAAAAAATAAAATTCATACGATAGCCCATTTTATTTTAGATTGTAAAAAAATTTGGAAAAGATAAAAAAAAATTACCACGGGAGTTTTGCACCCCTTTTTTGTTTAAAATAAATAGTTAAACCCTTTTTTTACGGGGGAAGGGAACCCAAAAATAAAAATTGTTAATTTTAAATTCTTTATGTATAAAACCGTTTTTTTTTCCCGGGAATTAATTTATAAAGTCCCGGGCCCTGCAGCTTTTAAATTAAAAAGAAAATTTAACTTATTTTTTGAAAAACAAGGGAATTTTTTTTTTTCCCAATTAAACATTTTCTTAGCAAATTTTCTAGATGGGGAAAAGTTTTTATTTAAAAAATTTTTTAATTTAAAACATTTTTACATCTTGAGATTATTTAATTCCTTGTTGAAGTTAGTCACGGTTGACTGGTACGCTATTTTTCCGTGTTGACTATTAAGGAGGGTACAATCGTTAGGCATTATAATACATTAAAATAAAGGAGATATATGTATGGAATATTATGTAGTAGTAGCTTTTTAAGGCTTTATATTTTGCTACAAGCAATTCATTATGTTATGTAATATATTTTTAATCAGTTGAGAAATTATCATATTTTATATTCTTTTTTTACATCGCCAAGATATGAACATTACACGATGAAATTTACATCTCGATTGTTTTACGAATCTATTTGCATGGGAGACCACCGTTTTGAGGCGATGGACAAGAACATGTGGTTATGCCTTTTTTTGAGTACACTCTACAGGAAATTGCCATGAACCGCCGACCTCTTTGCAGTCGTCATATGGCCCATAAAACCATCCACCGTTCACTAAAAAGGAAATTGAATGATTACTAGCTAAGATTGTTTACATGGTTAATGTTTATCGTATTTGTCCTTCTTTCTTAATTTTTGCAGTTATGTATTTAACGATATAACAATTTTTTAAAAGAAAATAAGATTAAAACATTTCAGATAAAATTAAAACATTTCATTTCTAAAATATATTAAACCTGGGCAGTACTGTCCTTCACATGCCGCACTGCTAACCGAGGGTCCAGCACAAGTCCCAACAAAGTTGAAACGCCGATGACATGTTCTCGATCGTTTCCTAGTACCTAGCCCACAACGAGCCGAACAGTTACTCCATGGTTGCCACGAGCCCCATACAACATGAGCTGTAGTATATTATTTTATATGCTAGATATGCTTAAATTGGATAAAATTCACAAAAAAAATCAAGAATTACAAAAATTTGGATAAAATGAGGCTCTAAAATACCTTTTACACAATGCATGTATGCACATATAAAAATTACTGTAGTCTTTGAATGCTCAAACTTTTGAATGCACAAAATTCAATTGATATTTAACAATCTTTATGATAATCATTATTTCCAAATATATGTACTAACGAGTGTGAAATGAAATGAAAAATATACGAAAATCAACATTGGTATAAAAAATAAATCGTTTTTACCACAAGTAGCGCAGGACGATGGACATCTATTCAGTACTATTTGCTCTTTGCATGCGTCTGGGTTAAGACGACCGAATGTTGAACACAATGCAGTGTCGTAGTCGATACACAAATCGGATGAAATTGGTCCGAGTGGAAAAATATGCCCTTCAAAATGAATATTTCTAATTGTTATCTTGTTTTTCCTATGCATTAAAGTATGTTTCTCGGTACCATATGATAACTTACCCTTTGTCACGACAGAAAAGTAAATCTGGTATATATTTTAAAATGTACAGACGGTATTTAATTTCTAAGCTCATCTTAAGGCCAGAATATTTATTATCTATATGTGTTGATAACAGTATATTGATACAAGTGCAGAATTTATATCACAATTCATATTTATACGAGGCTATATGAATAAAAACAATTGAGCGTTAAGTACGAAATATCCACATCATTGAGAGTTAATTCTATTTTATTGTAAACGTAACATCCTTCTAGCTCTACACATTTGTTATTTGAGTTTAAAAGTAATTGAAATCCGATCGGTAAAAGTCATAATCATGATCCAATAACTAGTATTCCAAAGCAGCAATCAACTGACCATCATTACAAATTTCTTGCACAAAGATATTGTTCGTTTCGGGGTTTAGTCTTGAGAAAAAGGGGAATGCTTGCATTGCAATCCGGCTGGTGTGAATGGGTGCGTTGTCCAGATGAAACAGGATTCCACGCAGGACTTTGCCTTGATTGAATGATGACGCAACTTCTATCCAAGACTTGCATGATGCCTCACTGTGGTTCAGTATTCCAAGTAATTGATGTGGATCACTTCTTTACTGTTCCATTAAATTGTCGCCATTTGATACCTTCATGGTTGATAAGGAAGTCTATGTTGAATTGGTTTCCATGTCATAATTGCTGTTTCTTAGGATCATAATGGTAAGCCAGATGTGATCACATTTTACAACTCTATAATGAAAGCCATCTGGGCAATGCGCATGTCTGCTCCACTGATCGTAATCCTAGACAGTTCCATGTCACCTAAAAGCATTCTTGGATTCATTGACATGCAATATACTGCTTATGGATCCATATGAAATACTAGCTACGTCTTCTAGCTCATAGAAAATATTACAACGGTTTTCCCTCACCACTGTGTACCATCTCTGTGTTTTATGGCCTGATACTAGTTGTCAGCCATCCTGACCTGGGCATTCATGTAAGGTTCATGTAAGGTTTTCTGCCACGTATGGACCCTACCGCCTTAAGTTTAAAAGTTGCATGAAAAAAGGAAAGCCGCTCCTGTATAAACAGCAGTGAATTGTTCTTCAACTTATATAGCAGACAGTGTCTCCTGGACTAGAACCTTTGTTAGTGCCCTTTACTCAGTTTTGTCAACACATTGAAGTGGCACATATAAGGTTATTGTTATAATGTACAAAACATTGTAAATTCATACGAAATATCGGCCGATTTAATATAGAATAAATGCTTCCATAATAAATATCACTTTTAAGTTAACTCGATGCCTATCTAAAATGAAGACAAATTATTGTTGCATTAAATGTCTACAAAACATCGAAACAATACCTGCTGGGTTATTGCTGCAAGCTTTCAGATTACAATGGTCCGTTTTGCAACACACTGAACAAGATTTTTCATCACTCCGCTTTCCAATAATAGGAGCCATATTCACAGGTTGGGTGTTGCAGTCCTATGTAATAATTGTCAAATAAATAGACAGAGTAATTTATTATTCATTCTATGTTAATTTTGAATATCGCGAAAAGAAAACTACAAAATTATATAAACGATAGGATTCTTGTACACCTTGTTATCTTACGGAAATATGAGCGAGGACGATCAATTCCATCAAAACAAAACGCATGGGGTTTTGCACCTCAATATTTTTTCACCACGTTTTATCACATCAAATGTTTTTCATTTGTGGTAGACATATACACAAATTAAGGTAGAACGCGACACTTTGCGAACTTTCGAGTAGAGTCTTGAAAATTGGCATGCAAATAATTTACCATATTTCTGATTGGATTTCGTTGATTTTATTTCAATAGTTTCAGCCAATTTTTGTACACATGACGTCAAAGTTGACCATCAAAGCCCGTTTTTGAACATGACGTCGTTGCGTATCCTTGGCAACTGTTACGGGTATTTCAACGCCATTGGCGGACAAAATATCTGAAATCCTACAGCATTCGACGGAAATTATTTTTTCCTTTAAGCAGATATAAAATCTATTGTTTTACGCCGAAAATTGTTTGAGTAATGGAAAGAAAATTGTCAATTTTGTGTAAAATTTGACGTTCAGTTTAGCCGCAATTTTCGGCTTTAAAGCGGCTTATTAAAAAATTCCTGAAATAAATTTTTGATTTTTTTCTTTAAACGTCCTTTAAAATGTATACTTAGTCAAAATAACTAAAAAAATTAGGGGGTCACCGACTCAATTGTTTCGGTACACGTGATTTTATTTACCCCACCCTGTGAGTAATTTTGTAACCAAATTCGACGTATGCCGATACGTTTGAGACTTCAAAGTGCGGCAATAATGTAAAGCTTATCAAGAGAATTGTTCTAGAGTTTTACTAATACATATAAAACAAAAACAACAATGTTCCATTGCAAATTCTTAAAATTGTGCGAAAAACAAACGATTTTTTTCTTGTTTTTAAGCATGATTAATAACTTCATAAGGAATTGTAAACAGACGCATGTAAAGAAAATGACGTCAGGCGTTCAACGGCAACGCGTACACTGCGCAAACAAAAGTAAATACAGCTGAGAGTAATCATTTGCGGCGTTCCTTTTTGATATTGTAATACAATAAGATTAATAAACTTGAATCGAGAAATATGCCTTAAGGAACAAAAGCAACTATATATTTTTATGTAAATTTAGAAATTTACGGAAATTCAATCATAAATTAATACGTAGTCTACAAGAAATTCTGCAAATCTATACATTTTGCATTACCCACACTATGAGTGATATACTGTGAGTGATATGTATTTTATTTCACCTATTAAAAACCAGAATTTGAATTTCACTTGTAATCAAAAACTATTGCAACAATTTGACAGAATTGGCGAAATATTGACAAATTAAAATATACGGTTCATAAATGAAACTTAGTCAATTATATTAGCGTGAAGCAAACAGTCATGCTTGAAACGTTAGCTCAGTGGGTGTTGGATTACAGATGTAGCACGTTCGATTCTACAAGTATCTGTAATACATATTCTCTCGTTTTGCTTATCATTTTAGAATATCATAATGTTAAAAATAACGATTAATTGAGGATTCACCATAAACGCTGTATTAAAAACATTACTATCAAATCGGCCTTTGCAAATATTCATTATTCACTGTATAGCCAAATTTATGGTAGAATTTATTTTGAACAGGAAAATTTAGAAACAGTACTTTAAACATGAAATATAATGAAACGCTGTAAATACACGTCTGCGGATTTTAGCGAACCGGCGGCCCTGAGCTAGATACTGCACAAAGGAGTGTTGCGTTGTAAATCTTTATACAAAATAAAGATATTTCAATATATATTGTCATTTTTTTTGTCTGTACATGCTACGGGCACTGTAGAGGATCTGTCGATGTTTCACTAACTATTTAATCAGTATGCAACTGACATGTTAATAAAACCGAGAAATATTACATTTTACTCAAAGTTTTACTATTTAATGTTATTCTGACAAATGTCAGATCAGACTATTATTTCTTTCCTCTTGTAGAAAGTGGGTAATTCTGAAGTACATCTTTATTCACTGTTTTATATACAAAATCTGTATTTACAAGAATAAAAAAACATATTTTGGTAATATCTGATCGTGTAATTAAAAAAAATACGTATTTTAGTAAATACGAACTTCATTCAAAGTTCCCGCATATTACGAGTGTACGGATCACGGTATATTAGTCATATACGTATTGCATGATATACGGTCCCGTACATCAAATTTCACTTATTTTTACCTGTCTATCTATAATATACGGAATTCCGTACCCTTTATTGTATCCATATATTTTCCGCAGTGGTCATAATAGCGTAAAATGCCGTAAAAAGCGGGATTTTGACACAGGGCGATCGTTTTAATAACATCAAAAAACCAAACGCCCCGTGATAGCGTGACTTTTATCCAAAGGGGTGGGGGGAATAAAATCACGTGTACCGAAAAAATTGAGTCGGTGACCCCCTAATTTTTTTAATTATTTTGACTAAGTATACATTTAAAAGGACGTTTAAAGAAAAAAATCAAAAATTTATTTCAGGAATTTTTTAATAAGCCGCTTTAAAGCCGAAAATTGCGGCTAAACTGAACGTCAAATTTTACACAAAATTGACAATTTTCTTTCCATTTCTCAAACAATTTTCGGCGTAAAACAATAAATTTTATATCTGCTTAAAGGAAAAAAAAATTTCCGTCGAATGCTGTAGGATTTCAGATATTTTGTCCGCCAATGGCGTTGAAATACCCGTAACAGTTGCCAAGGATACGCAACGACGTCATGTTCAAAAACGGGCTTTGATGGTCAACTTTGACGTCATGTGTACAAAAATTGGCTGAAACTATTGAAATAAAATCAACGAAATCCACTCAGAAATATGGTAAATTTTTTGCATGCCAATTTTAAGACGCTACTCGAAAGTTCGTTAAGTGTCGCGTTCTACCTTAACCGTAATATCATCTATAGTTTTTCACTTTATGAGCAATATTTTTATGGTTCAACATGTACAGTAAAACAATCACCTTTTCACTGACACAACCAAATCTGTAAACAACTCTATGAAATGTAAACACCTTTTCTGAGAAACAAACCTACAAGAAAGATGCATATCTATTTATTCAAAAATAAGATACATGATTAAGTTTAATAACTTGTTTTATGACAGTTTCGTTCAAATCCTTGTAATTTTTTATAAATGCATTGTCTTTATCAAATGTAAACCTGAGGAAACTATCCGGCTAGCTTACGGATCGAGGGTAATTCTACTGATGAGCTCGCTATTGCCTGAAAAAATGCATGGAAGGGCAACTGAAGTCTTCCATAACCACTGAAGGCTGGAAAGGTGCTATATGACTTTCATTTTGTTGATGCGAACCAAAAACAATCAAATTTTTCTTCTTCTGATTTTAAATAATTTTGTCACATTTGTGATCAAACTGCATTTACCGAAAACGTATATGTTTGAAATGAAGTCTGTATACATGGGCTTTAGTATCGATTCTCACATGTCATAACAGGATGACTCTACTAAGTATTACCAGTTTATTACTGTTTGCTTTTTTCTGTGCTTATATAATCAAGTTTGCATCAATACACCTGTTTAAAATCGAAATCGTTCAAATTTAAAAACTGTAAACACGAAAAAAACTAACTGAACCATTCAAACATTTAAAAATACTCTCAAATATCAAACGATTTACCTCATTAGATTAACATTGAATGACGTTCTTGCACTGACTTGGAGAATCTACCGAATCACAGGACAGACATCGTGGAGGCTTTGTTGAATTGTCTTAAAATCAAAACATATCATTGCTTATTTTCCAAAATGTTAAAGGTATAATAAAAAAGAAAGTTGAATAAACAATCACCGCTTTAACTAATGATGAAAAATGATAAGTGTGTACATAGCGTACCTGCGAGTTGGCAGCTGTGCAAGTTGCATAGATCGTCATGACATGCTTGTGCACAGAAAGAAAACCCCAGTGTATCATGTCTTTGTTGTGGCTTCTGAAATCAGATATTGCAATGTTTGAAATACAATACTCTGTTTTAGTGTCCAACTTTATTTGGCATCCAATGAAAACGCTGCATTTCTTAAAAAAATTGTGCATTAATTTTTTATAGAAGAACAAATGTCGATATTATATCAATTCAGTACAAAATCGACTTCTGTTTTTCATAGTACTTCATAGAACCGCATAGTGACGTAATAAAGTGAATGATAACAAGGCCAAATAAAGCTTTACACTTAATATGTTAGTATTCATCCGTACCTGTTCTACAGAATTAGTAACATTCTCCGGTCGCTATCTCTCCCGTCGAAGTTTCTTATTTCTGTAGAACAGCACAGATGAACACTAGCATATACATAATGGTTCGACATAGTTTATCAGTTTGTACGTAAATTCGTACTATTTTTTAAATGACAAAGATAAAGGCTAGATAAAGTAAGCACACGCCATCTCTTTATAAGCAACATGTCATGTTTTAATGATAAAACAACTTATAATAAGTTCAGCGGTAATGCATATTTCCTTTACTTGATTACATGAAAATAAACATTCACGTATTTTTTTCTGCAGATTACAATAATATGTATTACAAGCTCCTTGGTGCATCCAGTTGTGTGTTTCACTTCCGATGTCAAGAATCCATCCGCTCGACCATAGCAGGCCTACATAACAAAATTGAATTTTGTCAAATTTATTTATATTGTTTGCAAAATAACGCATACGATTTCGAATATCATAAAATTACATTTAAAGAATATGTGGCAGTATAGGCGAGTAGTTAACGCGTCAAACTTGTAATCGTAGGATTGCTGGCCGCGTGGGTTTAGACCTCGTCAGACCCAAGCCGTTGTTTTCTTGAGCAAGAAAATTTACACGCATTGCCTGTTACTGGTTGGTTCCCGGAACAGATTAGAAGGTTTTTCAATAAGCTTATAGCCTCAAACACACTCGAACTAAAGAAATCCAACTAAAGGAAATATTCGTATGAACTAACTAAACTAAAGAATATTCAAATAATTTAGCATGCTTGTAAATAAAACATATTTTAGCAGCTTGAACGTATAGCCCATATGACTCATTGGTGATATTATCTTTATTTCTTAAAACCTTTTAGTTTTGGTGTGATGTTACAGTTTCAAAAAAAGTTGTACATTCGCAATATATCTGGCTTATGTTTGCTTCTTTTATGCATTTGTGCATTTATTACTACAGTTAAAGTTATTTATCATTTTGTATGGAAATCCAAATACCGCTATGCTTCAAATTTGCTACCTTTATGACAATTTTGTTTTACATTCATTGCTTCGTTTTCAGATGATAAGCATCTAATATGCCTTAGATACGTCATGAAAACAGTATAAACACTCTCCTCTTTCTAAATAAGACAAAAGGTATTCATTTTTAGGCCTGATGCGTCTTTGAAGACTTTACAGTGCCATTTTTAATACAAATTCACCGTGTCCCACTTTTATAACGCTGGTTTATTTAAGCCACACCTTCTTCATTATAATTTCGCTCTTACTGCAAAAACAAATATAAAGATAAGATGATTCTAATTTTGAATTGCAAAGTACGAGATAACTATTTGAGTATAATTTAGAGCACGGCTATAAGACCTAATGTGGCATATATATATACTAAAAATATGATAAAAAAGAAGAATAAAGAAAATAAAGCGCATGTTTGGCATATATTATATGAATTTTAGTTACAAAATTGACTTAAGAAATCTAATGATAAGAAAATAAGATGATATTGTGGGAATTTTTCCAGCCTTTGTTTTCTTCAATGATTTCTTCTCTCTCTTAAAGTAACAGGTTTCCGTATAAAACACTTTAAAAAATTAATTTTGTTGTTGTTTTTCTTCTTCTCTTTTGTTTTGTTAAAGATTACTAAGTAAAAATTTCTAATTGATATCTTCAATTATTCCCTACATTGAACGGATTTATTTTTAAATGTATCGGTAGACTTTAAATTCAGGTTTAGCGTGAGGAAATAACCTCCATGCGTCATTTTGAAATTTGGCTGTAAGTTCTCATAAAATTTTTGGAAAAGATGGTTTCAGTTGATTTACAATAACGAATGAGCATCGCAACCCCATTATTAAATGATTCTCAAACAAAATGTCTCCCGTGCTGAAACCAGAACATCAATGTGGGAGAAGTGGTCAGTCATTTGAAGAAAAAATTGTTAACTACTGGCTAGTTATGCAGCCGATCAAGACCGCCGAGATATGACCAAACGGCGTAAAACAACATATCGATTCGTATGATTGAAAACATTTTCAATACATGTGTCGTCGGTAACTCTTTTTACTTAAAATCATAACAATACAGCATCACTTATTTTCTCAGTCCTATAGTCACAAACAGTTTATAGGAACATTTAACGTGTCGATAAGTGTGCATAATTAAAATGGCATAGATGGTCAGTGTTATTCAAAAAGATTGCAATGATTAAACGGCATGGCAGGCACAATGAAATAATGTCCAATACCTCTCCATCCGGACAAATAGTGGTGTTGAAACACTCCTCGTTGCTTTTTAAATCACTGCATGAATAGCACACCAAAGAATGGACGCCTGATAAAAAGGTGAACAATGAAATTATATGCAGCTTTTTATTTTGACCTCCGACTTACTGAGTTTTTATTATTAACATATATAAACTTGATTTGTTATACTATTTAATGAGCTGAGACAAATACATGTATTAATAAAATCAACATTTTCATAAAAGTGTTTGTCGTTGGAATAGATGTCACTTATTTCAAACGAAAACAAAATACTTACAGCTAAAAGAGCTGATTAATAGTATTGTATCCAGAAATGACGAAACTGAAAAAGTGCAATAAATAGTGCTATACTTCAATCTTACGGTTGGTATGTTTAAACATTTATATAGTTTATATAAATGTCTTTTGTAAATGATTTATTTTAATACGTGAACAGACCATTCAAGTGCTCGTTTTACTAAATGTATATCAATGTACTGATATAGCTATATAAGATTACTTTATGCAAAATTAGTAAATCACTTTTGATATATACATGTACGTTTAGTATAACTAGTGTAGTGTAATTAAATCATGTGCTCATACATGCTTGTTTATTATGTCATATTTCAAATATCTATACATTACCAAGCATCTTTCCAATAAAAGCAAAATATTAAAATATATATGAAAAGTAAATTTAAATGTAAACTTTATTGTAAAACTCAACGTTTACTTAACTATTCATGGTAAGATTTAACTAACTTAATGTAACGTTATCAAACATATACATGTACTAGATAATGTTTGGGTTTAAATGTACAAATAGTTTCCTTGATCCTTATCTCATTTCAACGAATGAAGACATAATTATATTTATCTAAATTATAACCTTGTTCATATATTATTCCAACTGAAATGCTAAAACGATGGGAAAACATTTGTAAATCATCAACACTTAAAATGTTCATTAGAGTATTAAACTTTCTTAATGGAAAGCGATCATTTTATGATATGATAAAAAATAATGAAAAGTTATAAGAAAAGTGTCTCGTATAGAAAAATAGAAAAAAACAGTGTTGTTATATCGTCATCATATAATATGTTCCAATTAATAATTCTGACAAACTGCCATTTTGTTTTCTGCTATGATTTTGATACTCAATTGTTCGATGTAGATACAAAATTTTGAACCGGTGGAAGGAAATTAATTGAACTGCAGGGAAGAAATGTTGCCCATAATGAGGCGATGTGCAGAGCGCAGCTTTGAACTTTCTCAGGTCAAGGTCAGGGTCACGGACGAACGGACATGCCGGACTGTCATTTTGTGTCAATATCAAAATTTTGTGTTCGCTCTGTATCTTTTGAACCGATAGAAAGAAATTATTTTTTTAAGCAAAATAAAAGTAAAATTGTTTAGCAAAATATTACTTATATGGAGTCGGTGTGCAGAACACAAGTTCGGATTTCCTAATATCAAAATTGGATTAATTGATTTATATAGGCTTCCAGGAGTTTTCGTGTCCGGTCTATATCTTTCTAACGGTGAAATGAAATTGAAACTACTTGCAGAAGTGTTAACCATAATGAGACGATGTGCCGAGCGCAGGTTTGATCCTTCTCAGGTCAAGGTCACACTTAGTCATTTTGTATCGATATTTAAAACCTGCTAACAGACGGACGGACATGCCAACATTTGGGGTTTATGTGTTGTTTTTTCTTTGATATTTATGTGGCCCTTTTCCACATAAACCAGTCGGTTTATGGGATTTATTTCTTTTTAACTAAGGTTATGGACGAAATGAAGCTCACAGAACATTGGCTGTTGCCCGGACGGACGGACAACCAGGTGCATCGCATAACAATTTACACGGCGTATAAAAAAGAAAATAAAGTAATCTACAATTTTTGGTTGTTCATAATGTGGCAAAGAACAAATAATACTGGAACGCTACTTTCGTCCATTATGTTTTATAAAAAATGTACTTGATTTGATGGGACAGATAAACAAAGAGGCTATTTGTATCCGTATTTCTGAACATTTCACCAGTAAACATTAGCCTATTTTACAGGTCTTTCTTGATCAATATAACGGCATATTTTGTGTCTCTAGAACAAGTACAATATATTTTTTGTAAGCCTCAGGTGTCATAATTTTCTTTTTTCCTCATATAAATCTGCATTGAGGGTAGACAATATATAGTACAGTTATGTCGTTGAAGTTGTGGAAATATGTTGGTTCACTTGGTGATTAGGCCACAAAATGGTAAGACCGTGTTTCAAGAATTATTTTATTCTTTTTCATACCAACCCTATTTGAAAAAGAATTATCCTCTATTTGTTTATACAAACCTATATTTGAACTTTCCTATGAAGTGATGCGGCGTTTATCAAAACTAATGGCAATCTACCTAAAATCCATTCAATGTACGATATTCAACAGAGAAACACGTGTATATATTTTAATACGTTTGATATATAATAAAACATGTTTATGATATTCTTTATTTAAATTTATTAGAACTTATTGGATAGTAAAGCTCTTTGAAGTTTTTTTTTAATTATAACTCTGAGTTAGTATGTCTCCAACCGGTTTCTTCCAATGTGCATAATGATTTAGACAAACTGCCATAATGAACAGAATGTAGAAACATTTATCAAAATGAATATAAATTAATTTAATTATCTTGAAATCAACACACAGGTATCTCACGTTTGAAACAAAGAACCGTGACTTACCCCACTTAGAACTATGATTTGCATGTATTAATGTATGTAATAAAACCAATAAAAGTTCTTTGTGATGTCTTTTTTCATCTTACTTGGAAAATTTAGATTATTTTAGCAAGTTTGCTGGAAAAATTCATATTTTAGTACCAAGGTGTTATACATCGTGAAGTAATTAATGATTCTGGAACAAATAAAGATGAAAACAATGGGAGGGCGAACAGGAATGACGAGTTGATTTGACTGTTTAATAATGTATACATCATGAATAAAGAAAAGAATGGAGACACCTCTCTTGTTTTAAAAGAAAATGTCACCGCAGGATATTTTTTATTAACCATCGTAATAGCATGTCTGCAGTTGGTGCGAAAATTATTTGAACACATTTATTATCCATATCCATTTATTGTCAAAATATTCAGGTGTTTGATTAAGTACTTAACAGAAATATAGGTACATGTATATGTGAAATCTATCCTATAATTCCCATGCAAACGTTCAAACAATGATTGTGTGTGCACACCGCTTTAGCCGTAAAGAGAAATTTAAGGCATTTTTACTAGGAATGGACATATATTACTCGTTTAAAATAAAACTTATCATAAAACTACAAAGACTGGCTTTTATAACTCGAACAAACATATAGATCAAAGTCGAGTAGAATATTGAGGGTAGCTAGACATAAGATGTCAAAAGTGACGCCACCCTACCAGTCTTCTGAATGCGGCGTTTTCATGTAGTTTCAATGGAGTACAATCAGGAAACCGTAGTCGCTTGTTACGAATAGAAGGTCTTTAGATGTTCATCAGAAATTAACCGTTATAATTTTATTTACTTTATTTTCAGCCTATAAACCTATATTATCGTATGTAAAAATCATCATGGTCTTCAAATTTGTTTGCTTTCGCCTGAACTAAATGAGTCCTGTTGATCTCGGTTTATGTCATTCTGAATATCGTCTCTTTAATTCTGGTTCATAAATAAATATCCGACTCTCGTCTATTGTCACTTACCTGTGCAGAAACATTTCACCCTCGTAATAAAAATGTAAATGCTATATCAATAGTGTCTAAGATTTAGTTAAAGCCTTAAAAAGACGAGAAACTTCAAAAGAGGCAATCTGTACTAGTTATTTATTGGGGGGCGCATGCGCAATGCGCCCCCAATGGAATAACGACAATTCAGCTTTACTATGGTTTGAACACAATTAGTCAGCTACCTACGCTACGCAAAATAGTTCCAAAACTTCGCAGTAACTCCCAAAATCATAGTTCCCTATCTATTTTAAAATTGACTGGCCAATTTCGTACTAAATTTTGCAATCGTCTTTTAAAATTGTATGTATATTTTTGCTTTACGCGATTTTAATATTACTACGCCAGCGGTCGATCATAGCCAAAGTACTTGCATAAATATAGTACAAAATACTTGTAGTCACAAGTTAATTAAGTGTCATAGAACTCAAAAATTTAGCAAGAAATGGAATACGGATTTCAGATCAGCTAACTTTAAAGCTTATAGGGCCTAATGCTTCATAAGTGTAAATTTAAGAAAAACATTGCATGCGTATGAATACGAACTATTTTCGCCCTAGCGTCATTTTCCCGCAATCGCCATTGTTTACAAGTTTATCCGTGAAAGATTGAGAAGTTTTGCTGTTAATATAGAAGTTCCACGTGTTAAAACGAGTTGTAAGTTTTATATTACAAAAAACCTTATCTCCCTTTTACCTAACTGTTGAATAACTTTGCTTGTTTTGCATTTATCAGTGGCGAAATCGTCGTCAAATCGTTGCAGGAACATATTCGGCGATTCTGGCTGCTTACAAAAAATACAACGTTATTCAAGATGACTGATGTTCATTGTTTATATTTCATAACGTTGATATTTAAGTTGCAATCAAAAGCTGTGTTTTTTACAAATTTTCTTCACAATCGGCCATTATCGGGTAAAGCTTTTTTGTACTGAATTGACCTTATCAAATTTTAAGTTTAGCAGTTCCTTCCCTCAAACCATTTCCTACCCAGACATTTTCGACCCATTTTTTATATATATTTTTGGAGGTGAGTTATTTACATCTAGCGTTTACATATTGTTGATGCTTACCTTACAGCCTTTTTAAATAAAAAATATAAAAGTTCAGTAATGATGTCTTATTACATTTTCTCAAAGAATGAACTGGATCCACGGTGCATAATCCATATCGGTACCCTCTTTGCGAAATCTGCTGAAACGGTACCCTATTTGCACATGCAGAGGTCATTCACTGCTTAAAACAAACCAGCGATGGATAACAATCATGTAAAATTTCATTGTAAAAAGGAAAAGAGGTATGACACTTAGAAAACATGTAAACCACGGAACACTAGATTGTTTTATTTATGTGCTGATTCATCATGTGCCTGTTTTTCATGTACTGCAACTTCATAATAAGCGACAAAAAATCGACATGTCTTGCCTTGTCCATCACCTCGACATACTTTTCGGGCTGCAATGAACCTGTGGCTTGATTATATATGCATTATACATATTTAATATGTTCATTTACATATCATCTTCGGACAAATGGCGGTATATTGTCAAAAATAAATGTAAAATTCTTAAAAACACCCTACTTTCGGTTTTACAGCGGCACGTGCTACCTCTCTTCATTTGAATTTTCATATAACAGGTACCCTATCATTTTTTAACACATATTGAGCTATTCCGACAATTATTACTCACTTTTACAATTGTTAGTCAATCATATCTGGACATGCAACATTCCACTTACCCATATATATGCCTTTAAAAAGGACTGTTTCGACTATAAATACTTGTCATTATAAAGAAATTGCCCAATTATTCTTTACAGTCTATTGTGTATAGGCTAAATTTAGGAGACACTTGTGAAAATATGCAATGAAAAATGAATAATTACATTGAAAATACAGGAAATGAAAATGAGCATTTTACTTTATCAATATTTCTTAATGTTTCATTGAAGTATGTAATAAATTAAAAGAAATATTGTATTAATTAGGAAAAGTTTTTATTTCAGGTGTGTGATTAAAGGCTTGTTTGTTAGATTTCAATTGTGGCACAGTTGGCTGTTTGCTGAGAAG